TATGGCAGAACCATTTTTATTGACCTTCCTAAGTTTAACACAATACGTTTTTAGTTACTGACACAAAATAATAACACTTAGTCATGCTTTAAATTGACGAAAGTGCCAACTAAATCCTTGTAATAATTTTTATAACAAGAACCATTAAGATTAAAATGATGTTAACTTATATTATACAGGAGTTATCAATTTTTTGGTATCCCCTTGATTAATTGTTCTTTAGAAAAGAAAATTTTTAACTTAAAAATGTTAAATGCACACATTTAAATAAATTTATAAAAAATAACAAAGTTTAATATAACTCCGCAAATGAGTAAAAATACCTTTCAAACAAAAAAAATTTAATTTATGATCAAACATGGGTATAACAAATTTTTTAATACATTAATACATCATATGACAAACTGAAATAAAAATTATAATAGATAAGTAGACATAAAAATTTGTAAACCAAGCTGACCCGACCCGGGTTTTGTTAAGTCTGTTCAACAAAGACCAATTCTATATTATTTGTTTGGCCTCTTTATTTCATTAAATTTTTAGTAAAACGGTTATTTGCCACCATTTACTAAAAATTCTTTTTGTAACTCGAAATTTTATTTTCCTAAATATTTTGACTCGAATAAAGAGGTTCCTTCCCTCTCTTTGCTTTAATGGTGGCCAGGTGAATAAAATAAAATAATAAAATGTAAAACAATGATCTACTTATATAAGAATGTTTTCTTTCTTTCCTCAAAAGTGTTTCAAATACAGACTAAGCTTACTAATTAGTTAAACACATAAATAAAACTTAGGTAACTCGATAGTAATGCGCAAAACTACAATATTCTCCATATTTTTAAAGGTTTTTAGTTAAGACCCCCCATTTACAAAAATCCCCTTAAAATACGTATAACAAATTATTAGGCATAAAATAGATAAAATATAAAATTAACTAATAGCATATATTTATATCTTTTTAACTAACAAAAATTTACAATAAAAAGAAATCAGGTTTTTTTATTTTATAAATCTTATAAATGCGTCATAACGTAATTCTAAAATAAAAAAGTAATGAAATTATGATATCATAAATACGAAGAAAAAAATACTAACAGTAACCACCACACAATTACCAAAAATCGCCAAAACAACAATTTATATCTTAGTTTGAATTTTTTTTAGTATTGTTAATGCTTTGGTACTTCGAAACAGGTTTTATAGTTACATTTTCGATAAATCTTTAACTGCTATTTCAAAATAGGTTACTATAAATAGGTAAATCGATTTTTGGTAATTGTGTGGTGGTTACTGTTGGTATTTTTTTCTTCGTATTTATGATATCATAATTTCATTACTTTTTTATTTTAGAATTACGTTATGACGCATTTATAAGATTTATAAAATAAAAAAACCTGATTTCTTTTTATTGTAAATTTTTGTTAGTTAAAAAGATATAAATATATGCTATTAGTTAATTTTATATTTTATCTATTTTATGCCTAATAATTTGTTATACGTATTTTAAGGGGATTTTTGTAAATGGGGGGTCTTAACTAAAAACCTTTAAAAATATGGAGAATATTGTAGTTTTGCGCATTACTATCGAGTTACCTAAGTTTTATTTATGTGTTTAACTAATTAGTAAGCTTAGTCTGTATTTGAAACACTTTTGAGGAAAGAAAGAAAACATTCTTATATAAGTAGATCATTGTTTTACATTTTATTATTTTATTTTATTCACCTGGCCACCATTAAAGCAAAGAGAGGGAAGGAACCTCTTTATTCGAGTCAAAATATTTAGGAAAATAAAATTTCGAGTTACAAAAAGAATTTTTAGTAAATGGTGGCAAATAACCGTTTTACTAAAAATTTAATGAAATAAAGAGGCCAAACAAATAATATAGAATTGGTCTTTGTTGAACAGACTTAACAAAACCCGGGTCGGGTTAGCTTGGTTTACAAATTTTTATGTCTACTTATCTATTATAATTTTTATTTCAGTTTGTCATATGATGTATTAATGTATTAAAAAATTTGTTATACCCATGTTTGATCATAAATTAAATTTTTTTTGTTTGAAAGGTATTTTTACTCATTTGCGGAGTTATATTAAACTTTGTTATTTTTTATAAATTTATTTAAATGTGTGCATTTAACATTTTTAAGTTAAAAATTTTCTTTTCTAAAGAACAATTAATCAAGGGGATACCAAAAAATTGATAACTCCTGTATAATATAAGTTAACATCATTTTAATCTTAATGGTTCTTGTTATAAAAATTATTACAAGGATTTAGTTGGCACTTTCGTCAATTTAAAGCATGACTAAGTGTTATTATTTTGTGTCAGTAACTAAAAACGTATTGTGTTAAACTTAGGAAGGTCAATAAAAATGGTTCTGCCATACACTGTTATGACCTATGCAATTTGTAAATTACTTAAATAATGTTAATTAGTATTTGTAAATGTTAAGTAGTAGTTGGTAAATTATTTTACCTCCTCATAATTTTTATGTTAATTTTACAGAAAGATTAATTTTTTCAAGCTCAAGGCGATTTTCTAAATGGGTATTAGTTAAGGCTTTGCAACATTAAATTGTGGAAAACAACCACTATAAATTAATTATGTAAATGACCGACCAAAACCCGTATCACGGGATGCCTTTTGCTAGTATATGATAAATATATACCAATAGCTGCGATTACGTCGTATTTTAAATATGGCGTACATTTTGGATTAATGCAATCATTTTGGACCAATATTAATAATATTATTATTGGAAATAAGTTATTATTATTTCAGAACTGTATTGATTTTAGAACTGTGGTTTAAATTCAATTTCAATGTATACGTTTATCCAACATTTTTTTTCTCTTTTTAAGTATTGATTTAAACATACTTTTTGTTAAAACCTACGTTTGATAGTATTTGGCATAAATAACAATTTACATCAATTTAAACTAAGTTTTTACAAAACGACATCAACAGCATAAAAAAAATATACATTTTATTCCAAAAAAAAACAAACAACTAATTCCACTAAAAACATAAAAAACATGGACGTCGTATGTAAAACATAAAATCTTACCATACTTCATAATAAATAAAAACATTTCCTATTTAAAAACAAATGCTTTTTGTGGATTATATAAACAAATAGTTTTTTTTATGAATTATCTATACGCAAAAAATGACATAAGTTCACAATAATATATTTTAGGGACAGAATAATTAACTTTTTTTTATAACAGGTCCCTATTTTGAGAAAAATAATTCACAAGTGTCATTTTCTGTCTTCAAAGTAATGGAGTTGTATAAAAAAATTTTTCTCTTTTTTTAATTTAAGAACACTGTTAAAATAAAAAGTTAATTAAGCTGTTATCTTTCGTTATAATAATACTTTGAAACTTTAAGGAGTTATTTTTTCATTAATTAACAATATTAAAATATCTTGCCACCAACCATTAAAAAAAAATCTTTTGATATGGCATATAATCTTTGATCTGACACATAACATATAGTCTAACATATGCTAGCCAGTACTGTCATAACTTTCTCAAAATGTCGCTTCAACACGTCTTTATTTTGAGCATTTGCTGTAAGTTGTGTCTAAATAAATTCAGTAACAATTTTATTATTATTAAGACTAAATAATTAACACTATGATATGCATTACTAGTAAAAAATTACTTAAATGCATTTAAAAATAAACTTGACAGGTCGCAAAAAAAAAAAAAAATTTCATGCAACTCTTAGTTAACTCCATCTCATCGATTAGGAGCATGCTTTAATATTTCTTCAACTTCTTCCTCTATCTGTTCGCATCCATGATAGTTTTTTAAAAGCTCGAAATTAAAGTTTAAAATAATATATTTACAATATTTAATAAAGGTACTCAAAATGAGCAATATTTGTTGTGGTTTTTCATTCTTTAAAAAAGTGCATATGTACTTTATAGAATTAATTTCAACTCAACAACTCCCCAGTAAGCATCGCACGATGGCCCTTTATTGGACCAATAACTTTTTTGAACATATATAACGGGCTATTGTATGCCATTGCTTTGCCTTAATTTCTGAGGCTATGCGTTTGTCGGCTTGCATTTGCAGCTGATATAGAAGCCTAAATACTGGCCAACTTATTTGGAATTTTATTGGGCCAATATTGGCTAATATATAATAAATATACACCAATATCTGCGATTACGTCGTATTTTAAATATGGCGTACATTTCGGATTAATGCAATCATTTTGGACCAATATTAATAATATTATTATTGGAAATAAGTTATTATTATTTAAGAACTGTATTTAATTCAGAACTGTATTTTAAATTCAATTTCAATGTATACGTATATATAAATTATACACTTTTTTTTTTTCCATAGCTTTAGTTTATTATCATTATAGCTTTACTAAAGTTTATATAACTTATATAAAAAGGGATTTCAACAGATCATAGATACTGTGCAATCTTATTGGTCAAAGAGAAGAAAAATATTCAAATCTGTCAACAAAATTATGTTCGATATTGATGCAGAATTTTCTATTTTTAATAATAATAAAGCTTGAAAAAAAGATAGTTTTATATGTCATGCCTCCTATTCTTTTAATGATATTTTAGGACAAAAAGATGATCATATTGTTTGTAATCAGCATTTATTAGATCAACTCTCTCCAATTCTTGATAACTCTAAATATATTAACTGTTCTGAGTTTAATATGCTGGATTTAAATTGAATAGATAGAGAAAAGTTGACTGAAAATAGTAATTATGACGAAATTGTAACAAATAGTTGGGAAATGTTTTTGAAGCAGGATACAATTGAATCCATTGATTTAGAGCAATTGTTGGATGATAGCAGTGAGAAAAACGAACCGGATATTGAAAATAAAAAAAAAGAGCTATCATTTAATTTGGGAATGTGTGCAGCATCATTTTCTATTTCTATGGTTGCAATATCTTCACTTTTGGATATACTTTGAGTGTTGCACCTATCACTTCCAAAAGATCCGCGAATGTTACAAAAAACAACTAGAGCAAGAACTGTCAAAACAATTGAAGGTGGCTCCTATTATCACTTTGGTGTTTTTAATTCATTGCAACACATTATTCATTTGCCTTATTTTTGTACAAGTCTTTGCTCTGAAACTCTATCACTTTCTCTACAAATTAATATTGATGGATTACCTTTACATAAGTCAAGTACTCAACAATTTTGGCCGATTCTAGCAAGAGTATCAATCCCATTTTCAAGTAATCCTTTTTTGATTGGTTTGTTTTGCGGTCAAAGTAAACCAGTTAACTTGAATGAATATTTAAAAGATTTCATTGAAGAAATGTTAGAATTGGAAAATGGTCCTGTTAAAATTGATGTAGATGGTAAAAAATGCTCAATAAACATTGGTATATCCTGCTTTGTATGTGGTACTCCTGCAAGGGCATATATAAAACAAACTAAAGGGCATACTGGATATTACAGTTGTGATAAGTGTATCCAAAAAGGGGAATGGCACAGATTACATTACTTAAAACTGATGCTCTACTTAGAACTGATCATTCCTTTAATGAAATGACAGATGCTCATCAAATGACAGATAATCATCACATTGGGGAAAGTCCGCTTAAAAAATTGTCTATTGGAATGGTAACTCAGTTTCCACTTGATTTTATGCACCTAGTGTGTCAAGGAGTAATGAAAAGGACTTTGATGTTTTTAATAAAAAGTCTTGTTAGTGATGGAATAAGATTAGGAAAAGCATCTATTATTGGCATTTCATATTTATAGCTCTCCGTCCATTCCCAACCCGTTCCCATCCATAAAAATAACGTCATAAATAACGTCATAAATAATATTATGACATATTTAATCCCGTTAAATTTTTGTTAAAAAAAAAGATTATTTTCTTTTGTTTAAAGTTAATCTAGCGTTATAAAAAAAATATATAAAAAAAGATTTTTTTGTAAAATTTTATTATCTTAAAAAAAAAGATTTTATTATCATTTTACGATTATAAATGGGTAAAGTAAAAAAAATTCAAGAATGCAAAAAAATAAAAGTAAGACGACAATTATTCGTAAAACCAATAGCTGTAAGTTTATTGTTTTTTTTTAAAAAAAAAATAAATGTTTTTGTATTTTTTTTAAGTGATTGTGTTTTTTTTCTAGATTGTTAAACCCTATGTGCCGGAAAATAAATATAAAGCACCTCAAATATATGTACCTCAAGTGGTAGAAACAAGACCACTTGAGGAATCAGACGAGGAAACGTATGAAGATCAATTGGAAATCTACGACGATCTTCCTGAAATAGACGATGGTAAATTAATATTTATTATAAACATAATATTTTTTTAAAAAAAACAACAAAAAAAAATATAATAGTTAAAAAAAATTATTTTTTTTAGAACAAGTACGAATACTTGACAGAATTGTTAGACGAATAGATGTTCATTTAATAAAATTTAAACCTTCCATTTAAAATGTAAAAAGAATTTCTACTATTGTAACAGCAAATATAACAACTTTAACGAACTTCCCAACTATGTATTTGATTACCATGTGAATCGTACATATACGGATTTAGTTTAGGTTTTTCTGAATTGTATGGTTTAACAACTGCAACAGGTTTTGGTTTATCAAACTGTTGTAATGGTTTGTTCTTTGATTCCATCTGTATAAAATTTAAATACATTTCGCCTTTTTTATATATTTTTTTATAACGCTAGATTAACTTTAAACAAAAGAAAATAATCTTTTTTTTTAACAAAAATTTAACGGGATTAAATATGTCATAATATTATTTATGACGTTATTTATGACGTTATTTTTATGGATGGGAACGGGTTGGGAATGGACGGAGAGCTATAATCGGAGAGGGGCAGATCATCATATACGAATATATTAATTGTAATATTTAAGTCAATATCATTTATTCATTAATATTAGTTATAATTAAAATATTATTATAGTTAAAATATTATTATAATTTTTCAATCATAATAATAATATGCGTTTGTATTATTTAACAATACCATTATGATAATTATAATGTAATGAAAGATGTAAATCCAATTTGCTTTGGTAATGGCAAGAGTTCAATGTTGTAGTTTATTAAAGAAATCCACTAGCTGCTTTGGCCTCAAGAAACAGCTGCCACAAAATAGGCATAATAAGAAATGCGTTCATATTAAATAATAAACACTGACCTATCTATCCATAATTATGGTTATTGAAAAGTGGAGGTAAGTAAAATAGGACTAATTCTATTATCATACTCTACCATCTATGCTTACATTTTTTGATTGATAAACACAGTGGGTAGCATTCATTTATACCTTATGATTAAAAAAAAAGTTATAAATTACTTTTCAGGGTTCAAGCTCAAGCTAAAAAGAAGAACTACAAACAACACAAACGATGATGCATTAATCACTTCCTACACCACTAAATCTATATGTCTAATTGTACTTACATTTCACAAAAGGTTTTGTAAACCAGTGCTGAAAGCTGATATTAATGAGCAGTGGCAGAAACAAGCCTGCATCGGACAAACCATGAATGCACCTCTCTCAGAAGCCTTGACTTTTCCACTCCAAGAGATAAATGATCTTCTGAAAATCAACCCAATTGCAAGATTCTGAGTAGCGATCAAGAACAGTAAGCTATTTTTTATTAATTTGTGTTTCTTTATATCTCTATTTTAATAAATTGTTTAATATTTTTTCTATATAATCTGATTTATAATTGTAGAAAAAATAATTATATATTTTCTTGCTAACATACATCAATAAAAAACATAAATGCAGAATTGTTGTTGTTAATCAGAGTATTAGGCATTTCCTTCTGTGTAGTCAATTTTTCACGTGCTGACCATTAAATTAAGTGAATTTTCCTTGCCTTTAGAGGCAGGAAAAAGGATAGATCCTTTATATGAGGAATTGTTTTGGTAAAATATTGTGTATAATTGGTATCGTTAAAAATATTGTGGAACTGAATATCCAAACAAAATAAATCTGGGTCCAGATCTCAAAATTAGGATACAGGTACCCAGGTAATTGAATCCAGATCTTGGATACAACTATGCCCTACGCATTAGGGTTTTACTCTGGCTTTAAAATAAAAGTGTCATATTTCTAAAAATCTCAGATGTCCTTTCAGTTTTAACTAAAAATTACTATGACACTCTCATTTTAATACCAGATTAAAACCCTAATGTATACACAGCTGATCTGTGTTCAGTGATGGTGGATTAAAGTTTTATTTTGATAGATAGATTTTTATTTGCTCTATTTTCTGTTTATTTCTATTTACTCTTGATATTTGTTTATGCAGGTGCAGTAAGAAAACTATCCCTAAGCGACGACTAGTCAACCAGACAAGATGCTGCCAAAATGGTTATCAAGTTCAATTGACATGGATATCCTCAAAAAATTGCTAGGAGAGGCGTAGAGCAAAGTTCTTTAGAAGACATTTAATTTTTATATTAAATGTAATGAAGTGTTTTTTATAATACTTTTATGTTCTTTTTTACATTGTTGTTTTATCGAATGCTGGTTGAGAATATTTGTCGAATAAATTTTTTTTATATGACATGTTTTTTGAATTTTATTTCAAACAAATCGACATTCCTTTTGTTTTAAAAAAATTATTTTGAAAAGAAATTCAGTTATTCTATGTATTACAAGTTTGTTAGCATAGAAGTGACAATTCTAAGCTCTTGTTGCCAAAAATAAATGTGTGAATATATAAAGTGCCAAGAATAGCCAATATTAGGCTTGTATTGGCCGATATTAGGCTTGAATTAGCCAATATTGGGCTTGAATTGCCCAACGTTGGGCCAGTATTAGCCTACATCGCCCCACTAATGGTCAATGTTGGGCCATGATAAGCCAATTAAAACTAATAATGGCGCAATATTGGAGCCATGATTTAACCAGCAATCGGCCAATATTTGCCCATTAAAGACCTAATTTGCGCTCCCCAATATTTGCCCAATGTTCGCGGCCAATATTTTCCCAATATAGTAGCCAATAATTGCCTAGTCATGGCCCAAGGAATTCGTGCTATCTGGGTTGCTGTTTAGCAAGTTTGGACTACAAAATTAATATGTAAACCTATTAGGTTTAACCAAGATATTTTGATTTTTTTGTAAAAAACAGTTATACTTTTGTTCTTGTAGTTATTGTAATTGTTACAAAAAGTATCAACTAAAGTATTATTACCTATTTCAATCTGCATGCTGGCAGTTGATGAAATATGTGCCAGATTCACCTAACTTACAGATGCAGATGGTGGGTCAATAACATCTGCAGCAGCTAACACAAAAATAGCTTTCATATCCTCATGTTGCTGCCATTCACTTTTATCTCTATACTTGACGATTCATTGTATCTATTGTGTGATAATATTAATATTAATGAATACTATATAACTAGTGATTTCTTGTAAAACAACCAAATATTTTACATAAAAACGTATTAAACAAAACAAGTGTCTCTTCTTTAAGTAAAAAAGTAGTGTACCTATATATAAACATGACAATTATTTGTACTTGTCAGAGCCACCTAGTCGAATCTGAAAGTCAATTAGTTGACAAGTATGAATAGTAGTCAGGTATATAACATAATATGTTTATAAGTTTTAGATAATATGTATATAAAAATTGTTTTTAACATGCTATATAGAATTCTTTTTGAAAACTTTCTAATAGTTACTTGGCAGAAAACACATTTGAATCGATGAATGTTAAAAGGGCGGAAGTAACGTATTTTGCAAAATTGACTATATTGCAAATTTGTATATTTAAAAGATAGCTCCATCGTTTTGTGTTAAAAAGGTGTCTGTCAGAAATTTTCTCTAGCCTGTCCAGTGTCTAAAAGTTTTGGTTTTTTGTTAAAAGGGCTGAAGTCCGGACTTCGGTCTTCTATATATATATATATATAAATATATATATATATATAAATATATATATATAAAATATATATATATAAATATATATATATATATATATATATATAATATATATATATATATATATATATATATATATATATATATATATATATATATATATATATATATATATATATATAATATAACATAATATATTACAACTTAATTCATTATTAAAATCATTAAATTATATTTTATGATTTTAAATGTGAATTCAGTTGATTAACTGCTTTTTTAAATGGATGATAGTGGTAGTGAGTCTGATCATACAAATTATAAAAAAAAGATAAGAAACCCAGATGATTATAAAAGGAACAAGATTAAGAAATCTAGGCTTCCTGGTGTGGCATATGAAAACCACACAGGACAAAAAGTGGATGCAAACTCTATCAGAGATCCATGCAGCTAGAGATAATACACAATAACTTCTAATTTAATAATATGCCTATGCCAAATTTTAATATTTTGTCTAAAATGTTATGATGTTAACTAGAAACTCACAAGCCTATAGACATAAGTTGTTGATTGCTTGTTTAGGTTTATATTTGTTAAATATTTGTAGGCTTAAGACAATAGAATGACACTTTTAGGGTAGCTTACAATCACTTAGCATATATTAACTTAAACTCTATTTTGTTTCCTAGACTCGGCTACCAATAATTTTTTTTTAAAAAGTAAAATTTTTTTTCAGTTGTTCAAGAAAGTATTTTGAATCTATTGGCAAAGACAATCTCGATTATGTATTTATAAACTTCTACAGCCATTTCAATACAAAATATGAGCAGGATTTATTTTTACACGGCTTGATTGATGTTACGGATATTGTGAGGAAGAGGCCTGGTTCAAGAGATAGCTAGGGAAAAAGTCGTGATGCGAATAAAGATACTGCACGAAAAAGAAAAACTAATGGCGGAAACAAGAAGGAATTTAAATATTATGTTTTGATCGGAGATGAACGAGTGCAGGTATGTGTTGTGGCATTTTTATCAATATTTTTTGTGTCAGAAAAGAGGGTTCGAAGAATAATGAGTTTAAAAATGGATGGAAAAGCAGTTGAAGATTTGAGAAGATTACATACGAGTTACATTACCAGTCACGATATACTAACTAAGGTATACGCTCACATAGACTCTTTTCCAAAAAAACTTATCCACTTTGGCGGAAAAGAAAGGTATTTTTTGAGTGAAGATATGAACGTGAAGTTAATGTATGAACTATTCATGAAACAAAATGAAGGGGTAAAGTTCAGTAACAAGTCCTATTATAACTATTACAATATGCACTTTCATTTACGTTTCGGGCAACATCAAGTAGACACCTATTGCATATGCGAAGAGCCTAAAGCTAAAAATAAAATCACCTCACCTTAAATAAGTTGCTAAGCAAACAGCAGTAACTGAATTGGCAGTACATAACTGACGCACCAAAAATTTTTACCAAGCCTTAAAACAAGATGTACAGGACGCTAGGGAAGGAAAAATGCAAATGTTTTGTCTCTAGCAGTAGGTTATATGCAAAACATTTCACTGTCCAAAATACCTTTGCAAGAGTTATTTTACCTAAGGCAGTTAACAGTTAGTGTATTTTCTATTCATGATGTAAAGAGAAGTGTTGCAACTCTCTACCTTTATCACGAGGAACAGGCTAGAAAGTCTCCAAATGAAACTTGCTCCTTTTTTTTGCACTACATGTCTACCTGTTCTCAAAAGTATGATGAACTCAACTTTTATGCTAATAATTGTGGGGGGAAAAATAAAAACAATTGCTTTTCAAAACTTTTTATGGCGCTTACTGACAATAAGTCAATGAAAAAGATCAATCAATTTTTCACAATCAGAGGGCACAGCATTTTGCCCTATGACCGTGACTTTTCGATTATAAAAAGAGAGTTAAGAAGGCATGAAAGAGTTTACAGCGTCCAAGAACTAAAAAAAAATTATATTAAAAAATAGTAATCAAAAAATTTTTTTAGTGGTTGATGTAGAGAGTTCATCTCTAGTTTACGATGTTAAAAGTTGGCGGCCAGTCCATTATAAAAGAAACGTTACCTCAGTTGAAACAATGGGTAAACCCAGAAGCCAACAAACTTAGTTTGCAATAAGCAAATTTCACTATTTTCAATACGATTTTGACAACATAGGTCAATGTAAGGCCAGTGAAATTATCAATGGCATAGTCAAACATACTTTTATGATGAGAAAAAAAACTTAAAACAAAGCAAACCTGCCAGAACAGCTTCTTAACCCAAACGAAAAAATCCAAATAAAATCTGCTAAATTGAATGACTTAAGAAAGTGTATTAAGTATATTCCACATGAGCATACTTTTTATAATAAACTACTGCAATGGCCTGCAGTAGAAAGCAACGATGGAGAAGCAGAAGATGCTGGGGAAAATGATTAAGCATAGCTGATAAAATTTCTGTAATGGACTTTTTTCCTTATAATTTTTGTTAATATTGTATAAACAATTCATAAATGTATAATTTGAGAAGATTTATTGCAGTTTGTGACTTTATTTTCTATAGCCCAAAATTTAAATTATAATAAAATAAGCAGTAATTATTTGTTGAATGTTAAAAAGGCTGAAGTCCACAGTGTTAATTTGTTTATAGGTTCTTTAAAAATAAATATGAAAAAATATATTTCTGCATTTAAGATAAAAAAAGTTATCCCCTTCAAAAGAAAAGTTGTTAAACTATTAACAAAAATTTATTGAGGAAGCAGCGGTGTTTTTTTTAATTTTCCGAAAGTTTACATTGTTGGACTTCCGCCCTTTTAACATTCAGCGATTCATTTATCAAATGAATGTTTTCTTTTTTGTTCGTTGAAACTTGAAATTTGTAAAACTTGATTAGTTGCTGCTGTAATAATTTGTCGAATTGCTTCTTTACAATGAATATCTCTAAGACTGACAACATTACTAATCTAAAAAAGCAACTATTGAAACTATATTTATAAGTTAATAATATATTCATAAATTTTATACAACATTTATATAAGTTATGTATATATTAAAAAAAAAATTTTCTTTAGAAATTTGAAAAATATTACTCCAAATGTTTAATTTAAAATGAGTAATACAACCAATAACTGAAGTTATAATACTGCTCAAAATCTTTTTCCTTAGTTCATCATTAAGACTTAATTTAAAAAAAAAAAAACCAGTCAATGACTGTTTTTTGTATTTAATTTAATGACTGATTTATCAACCACAACCATATCAACAACAACAATATATTAATCAGTAAATATGATACACTTTATCTTAAATAATATAATGTTGACTGGATGGCTCACTCTTAAATAACATGGTTAAAAAAATAATAATAACCTTGTAAATAATGCAAACTCAAAAAGGAGAAGTATAAGATATAAACATATAGATGAAAAAATAAAGAAACAAAATTATTTGAAATATATAAATACAGCTCTATCTTAACTTAATTTATTTTAATTTACTTAAATTTATCCAGCAGTCTCCTGAAGATATATGCAAACCAAAATACTTAAATATATACATATATATATATATATATATATATATATATATATATATATATATATATATATATATATATATATATATATATATATATATATATATATATATATATATATATATATATATATATATAT